AATTCTGTCATCATTTACTCACCCTCAAGCCAAACCTGTATAAAATTTATTCTGCTCAACACAAAAGATATTTTGAAGAATGTTGGTAACCACCACATTGACTTTCGTTTTTTTTCATGGAATTATGTTTACAGACATTCTTCAAAATATCCCTTTAAGTAAATAGTCTTGTACCTTGGTCTGCTTTGCCTAAAATAAAAGTTTATAATGTTCTGATTCATCTCAGAGCCAGTTCACTTAGTTCAAACCCCCTGGAGAACAGGAATTCTTCCTCTACAGGGGACAAAAATGAGACAGAGAAACAAGGAGCGAGTGAGAGATGATCTACCATTTTACCCTACCATTTGTGGTCCTCCCTAAAGAGAGGCATTCATTTCTTTATTCCCTTCGCCAACCCATCTCGGCTTAGTCTCTGTAATTACCACAGCAGGCAGAGATGGTAAAGAATAAAGAGGCCCAGATCTGTCGAAAAGGACCAACTCTGTGTGTAATGTGGGACAACAGGGCACGTCTCTTTATGACGGGATGGCTCGAAGCCAAGTTGGCCTCAGCAGAATCATGGTCACGGCTTCGGCACAGCTCTAGTCTGAGAGCACATGGCAAAATGATCCTGCGGCCTGCAGCTCTACTCCTGAGAGAATCCCATTCATTCTCACTGTGAGCCAAAGCCCAAATGTGACCATTATGAGCAGAGAAGCACTTCACTGTCATGACATGTCAAGATTATATTTGTTGCTCACCAAGTCTGCTTTTCTTTGATCAAACATGCAGTTAAAATTATTGCAAAATATTATGATTTATTTATTAGTGCGCTATAAGGTTTCCTTTGCAACAGCTGCAAACTACACAGGCAGACTATGATGTTTGTCTACTGTTTGCCATATCAGTTAATAACGTACCGTAATCATCAACCTGGTAGACCGTGAGTCACGTTCTGTGAGCTTCATTTCCTTGACATTGCGAAAGGTGTATATTAATATGCACGTGACTAATAAAGACAACACTGATAAAGTTCAGAACGGACTTGGCAGAATAAGGAAGCAGGTGTTTAGGTAAACAAACAGAGAAATTGATCTGAACTAGTGAAAGAGTGTCCTACTTTCCCAATTCCACAATACGATACACAATACAAAACATTTCTGAGACTTGAACCAGGTCCAAAATTAATCACAATATATATATATATATATATATATATATATATATACACACGTATATTGATTTGATGTTGATACAGTATATGTTGCCTTAACTAAATGTCTATAAATGCCTTTTAAATTTTGTTACATTTATTAATAATGATAAGAAAAACAAAGTCAAACGTGAAATTAATTATTTCTTTTTTTTTTCTTTGATTTACTTCTCAGCATATTATCTTAGCATACCATTAGCCAGCAAGCTTATTAAATCTCCCATTACTTGTGATCATTTGGTAAGAAAATGCAAACAATACAATGTGAAACAAACTTTTTATATACCCAAAATTAGATCACATGTTGTACAATACAGCAGGCTACGGTAGCAGAGAACTGACAGTATACAAGCTCCACCTACGGGTCCTAGTGCGAACCCATTTAACCCTGTTCATGACACCCAATTGTTGAGTTCAATTGGCACTGTGACAGAATTACTGAAGAGCTTGGGAACAATCTAAAGAAGCTGACATTGAAGGGACAGGATGATCACGTCAACACGACCTCTTTTTGTACATGTTGCACTTTGTTCTGAGCACAAGCTATTAACTTATTAAAGAAAAAAAGGGCAGCCTGACACTCTTTTTGATTACACTTATAAAGTTGCATCATCCAGGACATAGTGATTTAGTTTGCCACAGTAGTGAAGAACAGCATGTTAAATTTCTTATTTACTAATGAAAATTGAGTGCACAGTGTATTTCATATCATTGTGACAGGTTTTGTTTTCTTTAACTTCATTTTGGTCGCATATTAGAATTGGACAGACTTCCAAAATAGAAGATTTGAGTCCATGAAAGAGGAGTCTGATTTTGGTTTAATATGAGGGTATAGTTAATACATTATCTGTGTTAAGTGAGGAATAATTGACGACAGGCCGTTGAATTATTAGAAAAATAATGTACACCCGAGGTGGTAATGCGGTCACGACGCGAAGTGGAATATGATGACTGATTGCAAGGCATATTATTTCAAAAGATGAATTAGTCATACTTTTAGATGAGTTGGGTGACTAGGCTAATTCTGACTTCATATCCGGCTTCACGCACCTCTACCTGCTGTTGTGCAATCAGCTGCACTGATTTTCAGAAGTCTATCTGGACCATACATGCAAGTCTTTTATTCCCTATTTTCCCACCTAAAGTGATGTCACATTCTGGACAGTGACATCATTACGGGACGGACAATTCAAAGTTAGCACTCAGGGACATGGCACACTTCAAGATACAACATAATGTCTATCCATGCAACCAACTCCCAGATTTCTACTTTTGTTGATCTTTCCAAAATAAGTTGAGAAAGAAACTTTGCTTCATTTATTCTACTATTGCGATCAGGTTTAATATCTTGGGGAGAACTTAAGTTGTTATCTTTCTACTTTTAAAAAATATATATGATTCAATGAAATATATCTTTCTTTATTTTTCTAGAAGTGACTACAACAGTATTGATTTCTCAATACTTTGCCTAGATTTGATGTCTTCATCACGGTGATCATAACCCTTAATGTAAAATCTCTTAAACTCAGCTGCCAAACAATAATAACAACAAGTTTATTTCCTTTTCATTGCATATTAATGTTTTCAATGCAGTATGGTTTCTTTTCTTGCAATAAAAAAAAAAAAAAACACACACACACACACCCTCAGGGACATTGCAAAAAAAACTAATAACATCCCCTAAAGATAGTAAAATTATAAATATAATTACCACATTAAAATTAAATTATTTCATTTCCAAAATTAGTTTGATTATTTCATCCAACATACTACATAATAATCACGGGAATTGGGTGTAAATCTGTTGTAGCCAAAAAAAAAGGAGGTTATTAATCATGAGACTTTAATTACACCGAATAGACATTACAAGTGTAAAATTATGGCCTCAACGAGTGGCTCCCTCGAATCCTAGTTCTCACGATGTTTTGAGACAGTCAAGGTGCATTCAGGTGTTTCTGTATTACCTGGTCAGACTCTCTATCTCTGCTGGGATGCTCTTCAGTCTGTTTCCTCCCAGTGACAATGACTGTAGTTTCAGCAGCTGCAGACACTGGCTCGGTACCTCCTCAAACCTGTTTCCACTAAAATTCAACACTTCCAACTGCAGAGAGCCGAATTCTTTCGGTAGGGAAAATTCAGTTAAACGATTATTCTTGGCTATAAGGGTTTTGAGTTTGGTCAGTCGGGTAATGTCCTCGCAGATGACCGACAGCGTGTTGTTACTGATATCGAGAAACTCCAGGCTAGAGAATAAACAGATTGATTCGGGCAGAATGGTCATTCGGTTGTAACTCAGATACAATTGCCTCGTGTCTTTCCGTCGTTTCTCGCTAATCGTGTCCAAACTCTGACTGTTCAGATTCAATCGGGATAGGTCTAATACACCCTCGGCGCTGCTGGCTCCTTCAAAACCCTCCATTTTTGTTTTAGCTGATAACGAAAAAGAATCCCCCTTCTTATGGTTCAGGCTGTTTTCCAACACTTCGACCGAGTTTAGGCTCCCCGAACATCCATGTGTGTGTGACCTAAATTATTCAGCCTGACGGCAGCATTCACACATTACAGTTATCAAAGAGGGTGTATCAAGCATTCATGTTCAGGGGCTCAACTTTCGCATGGCTCCGCCCAACTGTTTTAACCCGTTACTAGAACTAGCTAAAGAAAAACTGTTGTAAATTCTCTTTAACATAGGCTACACAAACAACTCGAACAAACTATTGTTCTCTTCCAAAACTACGTATACAGACTATTATTCTCTTTAAAAATCAGTCCGAATTGAGAAACTTTAGTTTTGTTTAGTTTTCAGGGTCCCTGCTGCTTATGTAACCACAGCTGTTGCAAATATTTTATTATGCAAGCAGACAGTCAGTGCGTTTTTTTGTTTTTTTACCATATATTTTCCTGCAGCTTATTAGCCTGCTTATTAGTTTCTAGTTCTGACACATTGTGTCGGATACATGTGTCAGGCTTGTTTACACTCATTATACTACAAATTAATGTTGTATGCCCATACGAGATGCCAAAGTTACAGCCAACAGTCATTACATGATTTACCAATTTGAATAAATAAATACAACTGAAAACAGAGTAGAATTGAAAATTGTCATTGAGAAATTAAATTTGGAATAAGTTAAATGGATGAACATAAAGATGTAAAAACATCTGGAAACATTTGAACGGCGCTCCTGTGCAATAATATGTCTCTTACGTAACCATTTCTTACAGTCACTTATGAATATAGAAAAAATAAAGGTAACAATATTTCGATAGTCCACTTTAATTAGACATTCTACTAACTATAAGTAACTTTTCAACTACATGTCAACTAAATTATAGTATTAGTAGACTGTCAGCTTAATATCTTGTAACACTTTTGTTGGTACCCCAACAGACATTCAACTAAGTAACTTGGCGACTACAAGTAAACTTATTCTCCTAACCCAAAGCCTAACACCTAACCATATCCTAACAGTCTACTGACAGTCTATCTATATGATATACTAACACTCTAATGAGAGTTACTTGACATGTAGTTGAAAAGTTACTTATAATTAATTAATAGTACGTCTAAAGTGACTATCAAAGCCACATTCAAATAGTTTTTACATGATAGCATTTCTTTCCCAGTTGATTTCCCCCTAGTTAGCCAACATAAAATCAAAAATCCACACACTAAACCATAATCATTTGTGAGACATAAGATATCAAACGTTCACACTTTTTTATTTTTATTATTACATTATTATTAGAACACAGTAGGCTACATACCAAATAATAATCAGAGAAGTAAATATGAATGAAACAGAACAAGGGTTTTTTCAGTAAAATGTTTTAATTCTGCCCCATTGAATAAAACAATCATACAGACATATAAAAGGCTGTCTAGGTGTCTACCATAATACTGGAAAGTTCTTGTGCACTGTGTCCTATATTGGGTGGTTTATACAGAAGGAGCCACTTCACCCGTGGCGCACTGTTTGTATATAAGGCACTAATTACCGCAAAAGATTCGTACTGTTAGTGGAATTTAGTGGAAATTAAACAAGCTCACACACACGCACGCACGCTCGCACACACACGCACACAAATTCTCCCAATTCGGTGGGAATGCAACTACACTACAGAGGCAATAGCGACTCTAATCCTTATTCTGACAGTTATTTTACGTAACAGGTATAACGTAGTTGCTGGGTCCAGAGTAGTGGTATACCTGGAGGTTTTCGCACAACAATTTAAAACATCCTAAACATCAGGCTTTGGTTTCAGATCACTCCTCCTGTACTCAGTCCCACCTCAACTGCTTAAACTGCTTTATTTCGTAAAAACCTGGCTTGTTAGATCATTTTCGTCGATTCACACTGATCATTAAAGTGGGACGGAACACAGTGAGAGAGTTTCAGCATGAAATGCCTCTAGCAACTAACATAAATACAAGCTCAATGCATTTGTGCAGCGGTATTCTTTCAATCTACGGAGCTGATCTACTCTGATCGAAGGACTTTCGATGCAATCGCTCATGGCAGAAAAGGCATGTTTGTCAAGTAATAACATGGTGGGTTTTAAAATTCAAAGATATCGCCTCTCTATTTTACTGAGCCACACTCTGCTTCTAGTGTGTGATGAGCGCATCTACCATCTAAAGCATAAGAGCAAAGCCGCAAACCGAGGAATTCTAACATTAGCACCTTTACGAAAGGTCTCAAGACTATGACTGCGTTCGTGATGAGAGTGAAAGAGAGAGCGAGCTTCTTTAAAGTCACATTTGTCTCTGTCAAGCGAGCTTTCACTAGTTTGTTGTTGTTTTAGCATGACTATCTACCATCTGAATTAGGGATATTTCTAGCTCTGAAGCTCTGAAGTCACAGTTTGATGGATGAACCCGTGTTGTTTTGCTCTCTCGGCATCACTCTCGAACCCTTTCCATTGTCTCAATAAAATAAAAAATAAACATTTCCACATATAACTGTAGACAGACAAACAAATAAATGGTATACAGAATAATACATAAAATCAAACAATAGTGAATAAAACAAGGGCCCCCATAACAAAGTGCTGGGGCCTCTTCGGCATCGTTTGGACTGACACAATTAAACAATTTACAGCACTCGAAGACATATGAACATACAAAAGAATGAGAAGCTAATGAAATATGTAGCAAAATACAAGCGTAATGTAAAACACATTAACCAGAGAGTAGATGCAGTACATATAGCAATAAAAGTAATAACCTATCTATTGAAAATACTGTGATTCTTCCAATGACAGTACGTAATCTCAGGAATCCTGATTGTGATCAGTAGGAGAGGAATTCGTCCACATCGTCTCCCTCTGTCCTGTTTTAGACCTCCTTTGTGCTGGTCTTCATCTTCTCCACAGTCTCCTGATGGAGGGAAAAAGTTACAAGTCAGTCCAATCCGAGGTTCTGCCTGGGTTAGGGTTATGTAACAATCATGAATGTAACAGCCTATGTGGAAGGTCACCTGAAGTTTACAGCCCTTTAAAAAGTGTATTAGTCAGATGACAAACTAACTCCCCCCTCAAGCTCAGCTAAACCTGCCTTGACTTGAAGAAGCTAGTTTTTAGTTTCTTAATGATGTCCAACAAAACCACTTACATCTGTGTGTCACATTTGACTTCACTTTACTTGTTTAAGAGTCAGTGCATGTAGTGTGAGACTATAAAATGCTCTTTAAATCAGCAAGCTCCTGCTTTACTGAGGGATTCAGTTTGTATTACTGTATGTGATAAACCCTAAGTAAAAACACATTTGCGGTGTGCTTCCTACAATTAGTGTGCTTCCTATCTAACCACACTCGTTATTGAGGTTGGTATGTTCAGTAAAGGAGATGTAATTTCTCCCTTATAGCTTTCACATAGGAGACAATATGAGAAAATATGAGTATACTTTCTATTGTATGTGGTGGTGCAGGTGTAGAACTGGGCTTTTATGCGACCCCATCCCTTTCTTCTACCTGCCACCCTTCCTAATATGGTTGGTTATGTGGCTATAAAGCGAATATGGCAAGCTGCATATTCCTTTAACATCTCCCAGACAGATATTACTGAAAGTATGACGTCTATATTGACGTGCCTCCCTGATAGCGTGAGAGTAGAGTCTTAGAGGAAGAGACTGGGCATTCACGCTATAGCGTCCCACTCTGCCCTCTAGTGTCCCCTAGTGAATTAGCTTTAGAGGCAGTCTCAGTATCCTTCGTATTCGTGCCGTTTTGCCTCTCTCTGTAGATTATTCCCGGTGGTAGCAATAAGCTCCTTTCTATGACATGGGATTGCATCCCACATCCTCACTGATCGCCATTCTCCCTTTGGACGTGCAGATGGGTTAGCTATGTGCTCCTTCTGTGAACACATGTTAATTGGCAAGACAAGACAGGAAAAGTGGACAATACCACCATAGCGTTCAACTGTCACTGATGTAATGCTTGAGATAATGTTTCTCTGTGAATCTGAATTGAAGGGTGCTTCAGTTTTTGGTCACTGGGTGCAGTGTATGGTAAGCTTGGCTACGGCCTAGATCGCTGTTGGTTCACAAGCACAGCAGGCAGGCATATGGCAAGGATGGCCATGGCACGGGAAACATCAAAGTTCTGACAAAAATGATGTTTTCCCCTCCCCATGGCACAGAAAAGAATAATTAGTTCTCTTGAGAATTATGTCACATGTCATGTGAACTACTAGTAGTTATCGCAATACAGATATGGTTCTGTTTGGTTAGAGCCCTAAAACAGAGGGAAGTTTTTTTTAATATGACATTGAATATGTAAAATTACAATGAACATTATAAATTCAAAATATAACATGTTATCGTGACCTCAATAAAACAACCAAAACAAATGTGTGTGAAATTGTAATATTTCTTCTGTTTTATTATACATCTAAAAGAGCCTGGGGTCAATGGAACACTGATTCTACAAAATGTGTACAGGACTTTGAAAAAATATTAGCAGGTAAATTTTATGTTTACAGAGTTGTCCCCATTAAATTAGGAAAAGTCATTAAATCTGAAGCAAAAAAAAATGAATAAATAAAAATTATGTTTTTACAGACGTTAAACATTGAATGGGGTCAAATTGACCCCAAGGATAATAGGAGTGTTAAAATGAATTTGTAATATGAATGAAGTTAGTCAGCTGACCTGATGCTTGTTGAGTTCAGCCACACGGCGGGTCCACTCCTCTTCAGTCATCTCCTCATCCCCATTAGTGTCAATAACAGGGCTTTTCTCTGTGGAGCCAGTCAGTCTCATTGTCATTTCATTATAAAAATCTATATTTATTATAAAATCAGTACTTTGGAGAAAATTGGGTAATATGTGTCTGTCCCTTAACATAAGAAACCTTCTTATAATGTGACTAAATAAAGTTCAGACAGAACTTCATCACTTTACCACTTTTTTGTCAAGTCGTATTTCTATGGCCTTGTATTGCCAATGCTATCTGAAATATATATCTTGACATCCTGATATATATTTGGGTGTATAATTGTTATTATCATACTTTTTTTTTTTTTATCTCTGTGTCCTTTTGCCTTGACTACACAGTGTAAAGTGCCACAGTTTACCCCACTCTCTGCTAATCTATCAATTTATGATGGTAAAAAAAAAATAATTTGGTGATTTAAACTCACCATCACAGGTCATGGCGGTGCAGACCCAGTTTCCACACGCGCAGACGCAGCGGTTGCACTCCACCTGTGTCTCGGCGCCGTCCTCATAGGTCTCATCTTCCAGAGCACATTCTGTAATAATACATACAACATACCCATGTTACTACATGCATGGAGAAACAAAATATGTGCTCCAAAAATATGCAAAACGTTTCAAAACAAGCTTTCAAAGAGCAAAAGGCGGCTTTGACATTGACTACCAACACTTTATTCTTTATTTACTACTGTAGCTTGAAATCAGTGACTCTCAGAACATAGCCATTTTGTGTGAAAGGCATGAATTGCGGTACATGAATGTGCCTCCAACCAAGCATGCCTTTGTCCCAGATTCCCAAATTCAAAACAGGAAATTACAGTGGAATGACTATGTTGCTACAACCATTCAGGGTAAACTAAATGTGCAGTTCTGAACAATCATGGAAAGTGGAATGATGGAATGATATCCTATGAATGCTGTTATGTTGTAAGCTTAATGTCAACATAATTTATAAATGTGATATACCCTTCTCCATGGTATTTAATATTGTTCTATAGATCCACAGGTCCATGTTTTGAGCAGTGTTATTTTAATATTATTTATATACTATTATGTTTTTATTAATATATTGAGGTCCATGTTCTGAGCAGTGTTATTTTAATATTGTTTATAATACTATTATAGTTTTTATTAATATTTTGAATAAACTTTTATTTTTATGTAATTGATTAATTTGGAGTTTTAGTCATTTTGTAATCAGTTTTTGTTAGTTGCAAAGACATATCTTATTTTCATTTAATTCTTCCATCTAGCATAATTTCAACTAACACAACGTTTTTCATAGCTTTAGTTTTAGTTAACTATAAGTTTGAATAAACTCTGCTAGAGAAGGCAGTGCCTCCCACTGAACTTTCACCTAGTTCTGCATACGGAGCCGATCAGCCTGAGGAACATTCTGTGGAAAAGCGGAAAACCCCTTTCTGCCTTATACAACTACAATTCTGGGAAAACTGTGAAACTTTTTTATATAAGAACAAGAAGGTTCTTTAATACAGAAGTAAAACCTTTATTGTGAAGGAATTAAAGCTTCACCTTCAGAGTAAAAAAGCACTACGGCTTTGTACACAATCTTGACTGCCCACATTGTCTTAATGCAAGTGATGCGTTTTTTGTTCACATGTGGTTTAAATTGAAGCTCATCTAATCTGGATACACCAACATTTCTGACTTGCATATTGGTTGAAAAAAAGTCTTTATAATCCACATGCAGAAAGAAGGCAAGACAGGAAGAGACTTACTCTTCTCAGGAGGGTTGAAGCCTGGTTTCAGACAGTTGAGGAACTCATCAAAGCTCAGTTTCCAGTCGGCATTCTCGTCTGAGAGCTCGATAAGAGCGTCCACACAAAGGCTCCTGCGAGAGATACATGTGGGATCATTTGTAAATTCCTTTTAGGACAAAACATTTTATTCAGGTGTGATCAAGAGGGCATTTTGGAGATAAAAATACAAGTCCCACTATCTATCCAACCAGTGGGACAGTGAAATGTTTGGCCGTTATTATCAGTGTTTGTAGAGTTTTTCCACACTAGGTCATCCTGACCGCCAGATGGACGCAATAAACTCCCATGACCTTTACTGTCAGAGAAACAGGAAGAAGTGTGAAAGTGATTATTATGATGATTATAACTGTAGTGTTGGCTAGTGGATAGAGATTGTTAGTGGCTAGTGGATAAGGGTTGTTCGCTCAAAAATGTAAAGTCTGTCCTCATTTCGACAAAAAGATACAATATCCTGACTTCTCTTTTGCATTCCACTGAACAGTTGTGTCTACATTTTGTTTTTCGACCAGCTTCTACAGAAAAAAAGTTAAAGATCACGAGAACTTTTAACATATATTTTACGCATAGACGTATATTTTCAGCTGACTATGAAATTAATATAAAATTTTAATTGAATAAAATATATTTTAAAATAAAATGTAATTTAAGGTGTAATTCCCACTTTCCCCTCCCTCCATTATTAGATTAATGTTGATTACTAGTTGTCAATGCCAGACTTATAATCTTTGGTGCCCCAATCTTACCAACGGTACCAACACATTAGACCATTTGTACACTACCATTCAGTGTCACATGATCCTTTAGAAATCATTCTGTTATTCTGATTTGGGCTCAATAAACATGTATTATCAGATTTTTTGAAAAATAGAAGTTCAAAAGAACAGCATTTATTTGAAATAGAAACTTTTATAAACCACTTTACCACCAAACCACATTACTGACACCAAACTTTTGACCGGTATTGTAGTGGTTTTTAGTTGAGTGAGTGTGACTGTGTGTGTTTTCACCTGAGTAGACGGTTGTTCTCCTCTTCAGCGTAAGAGTTCATCTGAACGGCGGTCCCATTGTGCTGAATGAACTTGAGCAGCTCTGAAGAATCCAGCTGAGTGTCTCCATTATCATAATTCTACCAAGAAGCATAAGAGCATACTGAAAATAAATGTAATGAACTCAGTGTTTTCACAATTCAAATAGTTAACCCTCTGTTATTCTAAACCTCAAGTAAAAGTAATCCTGGTTTCAAGTTTCACACTGCTCATAATTTACCTGTGGTTAACAATGAATCTTGTTAATTGTTGAAACTACTTGACACTGTGTTTTTATTGTTGAATACATTCGAGAAGGTCATGATGGCCACCATTAGACAGGTCATCTTAAGTCAAGAGAACAGACATTTTATAATTACATCTCTCTACTTTTCATGCCAAGTTATCTAATATCCCTAAAGTTCCCATGAAATCAAAATTTACATTTTTTTGGCTTTTCATATGAATATGTTAGCCTTACTGTTAACTGTAAAAGCTATTGTGTTCCAAAACAATAACAAAATTTGCATTTAGAAGATATCAGTGTTCAAAATGATCAATATAGATCAATGATTTTGATGGTATCAATTTACATACACTTCAGCTTGTCATCAGATATTCTGTTCAATCAAATGCTCCCTAGACGTTATCTGGTCTCTGTGCAAGTGCTGCAGTGTTTGGTCTGAGCAGATAGTCTGATGACTAATATGTCTGATATCTACTCGGTTGTCTGCAAATGTGTGTAGGACAGTAGGTAGATGAGACTGTGCGCTACAATATATGAACCCTTTTCACATTTCCAGGCTTCTCCGAAGCGGAAGTCATCATAGTTTGAGTAAACATCTATAGTAATGAATGGAAATTATATATAAATATTTTTTGTGTTTGCATATTTTTTACCAGTAGCAACAGAAAAAAAATCCACAATGGTGTTTCTATAACTTTATAAAAGAAGTAAAAAACTGTAAAGAGATTGATTAAGGAAAGATGTAGAGTATTTGGTGTCACTCCCTCAGCTGTTGAATTAGAAACTCACTAGGTATCTGAAATTGAATGCCAAGTTAATGTTCACAAAGTATATTGTTATAAATGTACATTAAACTTTGTAAAATTAAAAATACTAAATTCTTTGCTACATTTGCAATGTTAAAGGGATGCTTCACCTCTGGAAAGATGAATGTGTATTTAAAATGGGTCATTTATGTATGTGAAATTACTTTTGAATTTGGAGCTTTCTAGACTGAAAAAGCCAGAAAATGTATTTTTGGCTTATGTGGATGAAAGACAAAACTCCCAGAATGCACTTGCTTCGCTGCCCAAATAGGCCACGCCTACCGGTAACAGAGCGCAGTAGTTAGACAACAAGTCTAGGCATATAGTGAGTCTCCATGATGAGTCTGCCCGAAAATGTGTTTCGAGATCGCCCAAAATGTCCGGGATTCGCCCACATGGAAAAAACCTATATAAACATATATGTTTTAATATAGGTTTTGATATATGTTTTTAATATATGTGACATATATAAAATTGGCCGTTTTCCTATATTATATGTACATATATGCACATATATGTACATATATACGTGCATATATGTAAACATATATACGCACCTATATAGGTACATGTATGCACACATATATGTACACATATAGGTGCATATATGAACATGTATGCACGCATATATGTACACATATAGGTGCATATATTTGTGCATATATGAACCTATATATGTACATGTATGCATGCATATATGTACACATATAGGTGCATATATACATGCATACATGTACCTATATATGTACATGTATGTACGCATATATGTGCACATATAGGTGCATTTATACATGCACCAACATGTTTACCTATATTAGAATAATTATTAAAATCCATAGCTACTAGGCAACATAAATAATAGTCCAAAATGTATGCATTTAGATTATTTATTTACTTAAGATCAAATAGTACAAAAACAAAAATAAGACAAAAAAACTGGATAGAAAAAAAATCTTTTTGATCTTCTCAGCTCCATGAGCTTTGAATTGATAGACGTGCCCATCTCCCCTCGGCTGGCTGACGGCCACTTCTTCAATGTAGCATCTAGAGAAGACAAAAATAATAAGACACTATAATAATAATAATAATAATAAGAAGAATATAGTACTTCATCAGGAACCCAAAGTGCTTACAGTACAGATGTGATCGGACACATATTTTTTGATAAAAGGTTGATCATTTTAAAAAATGCGTCATGTAAACATGTCAATTGGAAGATTCTGAAGATTCTGAAAAATCTGAAACGTGGCTTAAGAAAAGGAAAGTTAGGATCAAGAACTGAGCAAGCGATGAATTAGTATTATAGGTTCCAAGTAGATATAGTAACAATAATCCCTTATACAGTCTCAATTGATGCCTAATAAACATTGATACAAGTAGGCTATGGTTAAAGTGGTGAACTTATAAAATCCTAATGCGTTGAGAAGGGAAAACAAAACTTTTATACATTTACTCACCAATAATGATGCCTTTTTAATTTGGTCAAGGGCGACCAGCTGCTCCCCATCCCCTCTGGTTGACTTCCCACCTTAAAGTAAAATTTCAAAATTATTATAAAAGGGGGTTAAAATGAAGCTTGTGAAAGCAATACTTTTTTTATATACACATCACATTTTCTTGAGGTGCAAGGAAATACAAAAATGGCAAGTAAAAAAGCGATGGTATGCCCGCACACAAACATAATTTATTCCACAGAATATTAATTGTTTTTTACGGACAGAAGAGATTAGGAGAATGTTTTGTACTATTCAGGTTGTTTTTCAGCAAAGTCTCTAGATCAAATGTGCCCAGCAGCAGATTCCACACCATGGCAGTAGCAGAGGTGGCAAGGAGGGCTGCTTTCCACACTTCTGCCTGGCAAAACACCCCAGAGCCCTTTATAACTTCAATCTGAAAAATAATTTATTCATTTATTGGCATTGTTTCATATTGATTCTTATGCTTAGCTTCCCAATAGTTTATATGTTTTTATGTATGAATGCAGATTAATGATAAAGAAACAAAATAATAATATTACACAAAATAATAATATGAAACAAATTAATAATTGCCCTAAATGTTCTTAAAGGAGAGGAGGAGGAGGATAGGGTGTCGGGGTGGGGATGGGGATATTTATTAATAAATAAATAAAAATTCAAGGGGGTTACTCACCGGTTGCACTTTTCAAAAGAGGAGGAATCTAAATTCTCAACAGGACTCCTTCCAGTCTTGTTCATAGAAGAAAAATAAAAGTTATTCTCTTCAATAAATTAAAGTGCAAATAACTTAAATCAAATAATTAACACTATCAATCAGCCCAACATCACAAGTCTCTACAGCTCTGCTAGAGAAACCATTTTAAAAAGCAAAATCAGAGGAACTTACCTTTTTGAGCAATAATGGCGAGGTAACTTTTCATTTGAGGTAATTCTAGAAAGAGGTTATATAAAGAAAAAAAAAAAACAATTACAATCACTTAATCAAAATAGTAATGCCCTAACGTTAATGTTTACTATTTGAAAGACATTTCCTGCAACTGTAAAGGCAAGCCCATTGATACGGCTCTTTCTTTCACCAATTTCGACCAAATTCAAACTCCACAGGTATTTTTTTTTTTTTTTCTGGAGCCGATTGCCTTCTTGAGCCGTTGGCAGAGAAGTATCATTTATTCTCATGACGTTATGTTCTCTATAGGCCATGACTTTTGATAACCCTCTACGAATTCCTCCAGAAAGAAACAAATAAATACACGTTAATTCTAAATTGAATCTTATCAACGGCTAAGTTATTTTAACACCCACAGTAACGTTACGTTACCTCACCAGCTAACAACATAGGAAGTGTATGGGCTGAAACAGGTGTGTTTGGCAAAAAATAAATGCTAAGTTTATACTTCTCTGCCACCGCAATTTCCACCCTGCAAATAAATATAAAATTAGGAATACTTACGATTGGTGATAAGTAGGACTTAGAGGATCTCCAATGCTGAAATCGCAATTTTTACTCCCAGCCGTTATCTTCCGGCGCGAAACTTGACTTCATCTCATCGGATACGGATAACGTCAAGCGTTAGGCGGGTGACGTCATCAACTACGGGGCGCTGTAGCGGCCAATCGGCAGTGCAGCAGCATTCGAATTTATTAACCACTGTGAATTGCTCAGATAGATGGTGGGATGGTGGGATGATGATGATTATTTGAATACGTTCTATTCACTTTTTTTTTTTTTTTTTTTGACTGCAATGACCTTTCAGCCAGAAAAAAAAACTGCATTCAGACAATACAGAAAACATTGCAATTTGCATTGCATTTGGTGGATGTATCGGTGAATGTGTGGATGTGTATGGGAAAGTGACTTGAAATTGGAAAAAGCTTTTGGTAAAATGAAAAAACAACAAACCCTTTTGTTATACATTTCCTTCTTTTCCACTAAGTCATTCTGATATGTATATAAATATTTATTTATTTATTTGAGCAATATAGTGACATATACACTCTAAAAATGCTTTGGGTCAAACATGGACAAACCCAAATGTTGGGTTAAAAATGCAATTAAAAAAATGTACAGTTGAAAAAGTGAAAAAGTACAGTTACATTTTTAACCAAACATTTGGGTTTGTCCATATTTCACCCAAATTTGGGTTCAAACAACCCAGCATTGTTTAGAGTGGATGAGCTACAAATGACCAGATCCTGCCATGAGCTACAGTATAGGATACTCTTGTATATAGCACTTATGTGTGGATATAAAGAAGCAATGCAGGAGACCTACAGTATATGGCCTGTATATGCACATATATGCACCTAAAATTGCCTATATGTGTCATATATACACACATATGCAGCATATATATTATCATATATGTGCATATATGCTGTATATATGCAGCATATATGTGCATATAAACTGCATATAGGTTTCATATATGCGCATATATTCTCATATAGTTTCTTTCCATGTGGGCGGCTTTTGCGTTGTACAGTCTTCATTCATTATGTTTACTGTGGCGAGCAGGACGAGTGAGGGCCGCGAAGGAACGGCACGAGGCCGGTGGCGTGATTACCGATGAGCGTCACCAGTGAGACGCACCAGTCTCATATCTCTCACGGAGGAGCGGATATTTTTGCAATGTTAAAACGCACATCAACCGATCACTTGTTTAGCGTTCTTGTAAACACTACATTCAGATTCACCAATCAGAATGAATTCAGTTAGATTGAAACAAAAGGTGTACATGTAAGCAATGAATGGCGACTGCAGAAAGCAAAAGCTGAATCCCGGACTTCGACGGCCGGACATGTCCGGGAAAAAGAGGATGGTAACCCCTACTCAGCTTTCTCCACAGAACAAGAGCCTGCTAGCTTAGCTTCCAAAAAAAAAGATGGCTGACACTGTGTGTACATTCTGTGAGTGAGATCCCACCCTCTATGCACTGGCTGAGAACATGCGGGACATCCCCTACTACTGGCTGTAGTCTTAAACCTCTGGCCAAAAAATCCTCCGATGACACAAAATGACGATTTTTGCGTCATCTGAGGATTTTTTCCAGACAAAAAAATAAATAATTCTCTCACCCCAGGGGATATGAGGGTGTAAAGCATGGTAATTGAAAAATACTACAGGTTTTCTACTAATACAAAGCTTAATGCTAAATCCTGAAGTATCCAGTGGAAACACATCATCGTAGTAAAAAAAAAAGCCATATAAATTCTTCAGTTTATACAGACACATGCATCAGTGATCAACACAAGCTATTTTGAAACTTTTACACATCATGCACTTGGTTTAATCTTATCTCACTAGTTTGTCAGAAGACTGTACTCTGCCTGGTACAAGTGATTTTGTCATGTTGACCAATAAACAAGAGCAAAAGGACATGTTCATGATTGAGTCAAGCTTCCAGGCTTTGTTCTCCAACATTTGAAGGGAAAATTGACCTGAAAATTTGTATTATTCCATCATTTATTACACTAATGTCGATCCAAACCTGAAAATGACACCGTTTCTTGTGTGAAATATATTTTGTAGAATAGGGGTTCAAATCAACATTTGACCGCATTGACTTCCATTGCTTGGAGAAAAATAATTATCTTTAAAGTTGTTTTGATTGTATTCTCGAAAAGCTTCGTCTTTAATTTTGAAATGTAAGGTTTTTTTTGTTTTGTTTTTTTTTTGGGGGGGGGGGGGGGGTTACGTTGCAGTTCAGGGCTTCCGTAGTGAGCAAATATTGACAGGAATTCATTTTTGGGTGGACTATCCCTTTAAATACTTTAGAGAAGGATGTTTAACTGATCTGAGCAGCATATGGATTATTGGTCAGGTGATAGCACTCAGTCAGACTTATGGATTTTGCTGACAGCTGTAGAGACATGTTCATCAGCCATCTGTGCGTCACATCTCTGCCAGTGCAAAGGTGAACTAATACTGATCGAACAAAAGATCCAACAAACTGCTGCTATGCAAACAGAAGTCATTTTAGGTGTATTTTACACGCCTTAGGAGGCTGTCATAAAAATGATGTGGTGTGTCCTGAAGGCAATTTGAAGAGCGGCAGGAGGGCGCAGACATTCCCTGGTGGAGGCTAATATACAACAAGCCCTGATGCTGGAGGATCTAGACTAGAATAAATCTAATTCCTTCCATGACTACACTTCAAACTGATATCAATGTAAAAGAGATGTCAAACATTTAGTTTGTACATTTGCAAAAAATTGGAAACCAAAACTGTCACTTAACCTATTCTGCTTATGTTATGATGTTAATAATTCTGCATTTTGTTGGCAGTGGCGGAGCCATATTCCTGAAGTGCCATTTGTGTCACACCAGACACATCGCACTATCAAGTTCAAGTCCTCAAAAGTGTCGTGGATGTGTTTTGCTATAAAAACAGTAACTGAAAGGACATTCTATATTGTCCATAAGCAAAGACTTTATTAAATACACAGAAATACACACTCTTCCATTAAATGGTGAAGTCATTATGTACAGTAGATACATAAAAAACGATTTAAGACAAAATGATGTAATTTAATAGAAAACTATGTGAGTGGCGCTCTGTGGCACGGCAGATATCAAAAACTTCCGAAATCTCTGTATAAACAATGAGTGACGTAGACGCGCAAGCGATCACTTCCGGCGCATGCGCAGACCGAAGCGCCCGTGCCGTCAGATCAGTTGGATATGGCTGTGTTACATGAGGTAAAAACGATATAAATACTGTTCGTTTTCTCACACAAACCGCTCGTTTCGTGTCTTAGGCCATCAATGTGTACTTACATTTACGAGTCATTCAATCACATTTAATTTGGACTTCTCTGTGGATGCTCTTTGAGGTGAACCAAGGGAGGACCCCCTAAACCTCCATTATATGACTGATAGACAACAACGGTTTGACCGAAAAATATCAAAATTGCAAATACTGTGGAAACAAAGACACCTACATCTTGGATGCCCTTGAGGTAAGCTAAAACATATCAAAAATTAATTTCAAAGTGAACTATCCCTTTAAGTAAAATTTTGGATGTTTTCTTTGAAACATAGCCCAAAATCTAAAACCTTTTTCCCTGTAGTGTCTTGTCATAAAGTATGAAAATATCCTAATTCTTGCTGGTTTAATATTTGAAATGACTGCACACACCTTGAAGTACTTGAGGAGGATATCAGTGAAGTTGGAGCCCTTGGTGAACCAGCCGTCTGGAACAACTTCTGTCTGCAGCCAGTCGATCACACGTCTGCGCAGCTCGTTACGATCCGCAACGTAACACACAACTTTAGAAATCACACACACACAAGCAGACACAGAAAGTTAGAAACTTTAATACAGTATCTTTGGTAAAAAAACAAAAACACATACTGTCCTCTGTAAAATGCTAATGAACATGAAATGAAATGTAGGCACTGCTAATTCACATGTGTACAAGTTTTCATACAAAGATACAACAGATAAAGTTATTTTATAACCAGTGATTTCATTATTTTATGTGTCAATGTTACAAAAGCATGTTTAAACAGAAAATTAGCTAATATTGGTTGATGATTGAAAAACATCACTCTTGCCAATAGCACCTTTATTTTCTTAATAACTGATGTCCCTCTATAGAGCTGGTAAGTCCCGCCCCTTCAGCTAACCCCGCTGGACCTCTAGGTTAAAAAAATCGTCAATGCAAGTGAATGAGAGAAAATAATTATTTTCTAATCCCGTTTGAATTTTGCAATGAATGTCAACATATGATCAACCTAGAGGTCCACTTGGAGTTTTACCGATGGGCAGGACTTACCAGCTCTATAAGGCACATACAATAATCATGGTCCGATTACTTTAAAGCCATAAACAAAATTGCTAATCTTGGTCCCAAGAGATTAAATGCATTCTCTACATCTAAAAAGTTATTTTGAGCACAAGTAATTCCACTGTCGCCGTGTCAGAGAGGTCATGTCTGCTCTCAGTATCTCTGGGCTCATAACATGTCGTTAATTAATGGTAATCTGTGTAGCCGACAGATAAGTAGAGTCATCAGAAAGCTCTGGTTTGGCTCTTAGCCAGATAACACAACTCACCTGGGCTGGCTGCAGCCTTCTCCTTCTTCTTTTCTGTAAGAGACAAAGATAAACGTGAGTGGAGTGATGTCTCACAATCTGCACGTAGTTATGACTGAATCTTCCCTTGGTTATCAGCTGAGCAACTACATGCATCAAATATAGATAAGAGGTTACAACGTCACCTCATAGCATGTGGTTATTTAACAATATACGTGGTCAGAATACCATGATAACAAACTTAGACCTGGATTTGACCGTAATGTTCAATGTCCAATGATCCAACACTCAATGGTACAGAGCTGGAACATTGATGGGTACATTAGTAAGAACAAGAGCAAATGTCCTGTCCTGAAGTCAGATAAACTGATCCCAATGGATCTTGCCAAAATGAATCAATACATTATATACCTATCTCTTATTTTATCCTGTTATCAGTCATACATTTTGGATGAAGCTTATCTATTCTTATTATAAGCAGGATCCCAGCGTTCCCATGATTCCTTTCCTGGAATCATAACAATATCCCAAACAACTTTTAATGAGACTTTTTTTTTTTAATCAAGTCTTACTATGTAATAAACACAGACTGTTCAAAAGATTATATGATGAACAGATTGATTTAGGCTTTTATTTGATTGAACCTCATTGGTTTTTGCAGAAGGTCAAACGAGCTGCGTAACAAGAGAATGAACATCATTGGTTCTGGCACATCAAGTGAACACGCTTGATCCTCCGTTTACCACAACTGATGTGTGAGTTGATGAATGTTTATGAGAATAAAAGCCAAAAAACAATATGTTCATCGCATAAAGCAATCAAGTCTCTAAACCGCTCAATTGGTTTAGTTTTACGATCTCTTTATGAACCCTTTGAAACACTTAAAAATGGTAGTTGCGTAGCTGTCGATGGAGTTCCCTGTGTATTTTTATCCTCACTTCTGTTTGTTCAGTTTTTCGTGTCTTCTTTAGTTGCTTGTGTTTGCATATGATCATTGTGTATTTTCTTGTGGATATTCTGAACAAAAATCTGTTTTCTTTGAGTTCAAGTGTGACAGTCGTCACTTTTTATTTTTGGAAAAAACCTAAACAACCCCCCCCCCCACTAAAATTATGTTTGTTCAAGTTTGTTCATTGATCGTGAATTTTGTATACCAAGGGGCAAATTTACTAAAAATCAGCATTAGAGCGCAATTCCAAAAAAGTACCGATGCATGTGCTCTTTTCACTACGTGTCTTTAGTAAATCCTGACAGTAGTTTTTCTAACACCAAAAGAGGGTTTGCAAGGGTTTGTGCAGTTTTATAGTAAAATCTTAGTTAAGAACAAACTGCTAGATCCTTGCAAAACCACAGGGAAAGTAATTTCCGGTCAATTTCACCCTTCACTTTGTTCCTAATCAGCCTATATGCCTGTGGTTCATTCCTACTTTCCTGCATGTTGGTTGTCTCCACACACCTTTGCAGTGTCCTTCATGGGCCACTTGGATCTTGAGTCCAGTAAGACAGGCGTCACGGTGCAGTTCGCAGTGGTTACGGTACGTTTTACCATTACTGCCACACACTGAGCGCTTATGAGCTTTGCATTGCTGCAGGAGACAACAACATACTGTTAAAAAACACAACAATTTAAACCATCACAACTGCCTATGTCTCAAGCTAGAAAAACAAATGAAAAAAGCAAAGGCACAATAGTGTGAATGTCTTTCAATTTTCTCTTTTGGAATTTTCAATACCTGGAAAAGTCACAGATGGTTTCTAGTTTTACTCAGATCATAAGCTAGAAATTGCTTTTCTGCAATATAAAATGTTTAAAAATCCTCATCCAGTCATCCAAATAAATATAAAGGTCAAGGAAATTCATTGGTCAAACCCCTGGATATTTCTTATAGAAGGTTTTCTTACCTCAATGCACAGACAGCTGGGGTCTCCTTTCTCGTTCACGGCACACTCTCTTCCAGCGCCACAGAACACATTCGCACACACCTTTGATTTGCTCTGAGCCTCCTGCCGACAAACACCGAAATAAACAACATTAATAAAACAGACACACAGCTGCAAAACTCAGATTAGGTACTGCCTTTACAAAAAATAACTTTATTCTCTTTAAGTCTGCTATCAGTATACTTCTTTTAAACTCAAAATAAGAAAGTATACTTTGAGTCGATTTTTTTTTGTATTTTTCAGAAATATAATTTATGTCCTTTTCGGAAACATACTTAAAATTGCACAAGAAAGTCTATGTATATTTGCCCTATACATGTACTCAATAATTTGATTGAGATATACTTAAAAGTATAATTTAGTATTCAATGTATACTTGACTGTAGTTTTGTTCCTTGTTTGGATTGAACAGCCTTTTAAGTCTTTAAACTTACATTGTTTGCAAATTTAGATGCAAAAAATGCTATCAATGCAGTTAAAGAAAACAGATATGTTCCTTATTTTGAGTATGAAAAATTTTTGAGTTGCCCACTGGTAGTGTAGGAATTCACTTCAAATCTACTAAAAGTACAGTTAGTTCAAATATACAAATTAATACATAAATCGTAGTATATTTAGTGCAAAAATAATATATAAATAGTAAACTATAAGTATGGTTAACTTCACTTAAAGAAATCTAACAAGTATAGGCCTACTTGTTGTATAAAACTACTAAACTAGTAGTTTACTGAGAGTACAAATTTCACAAACAAAGTGTTACAATGATTTGACTATTAAACTATACCTGTAAGTTCACTTGTAGTATAGTTGCAATACAAGTTAAAAAAAATAGTTTGAAATTAGTTCAAAGTACTCAAAGTTTACTACTGTTACACTTAAACGTATACTACACTAAAAAGTGGGCCAATTTGGTCCCAAGTAGTAGCCTATTGAGTACACTTACAAGTATACTTCAAGTACATTGATATGAGTATTCTTAGTACATAACATATACTTAAAAAGTATACTTGAACTTTACTTTAGTATATTTAAAATGAACTTAAACTTGTTTTTTGTAAGAGTGTTGTAAGTAAGTTTTTGCACATTCAGACTCTCACCACCAGAGGGCGGCTGAAAAAGCATTTGCTACACTACTTCGTATTTTTAAATGTCGGATTCTGGAATTATTCAGTTGACATTTAAACCATTTAGCATGCATAACGCTCACGTCTCACAAACGACTGTTTGTGAAGGTTGTTTTGTGGTTTGACATCTCTATTCGAATAGCTCATGAAACCAGGGTAGACTAAAAACTCTTGAAATAGAAACTAGCGTGGGCTCCCGGACCACAAATTCACTTTTACCACAAACATAGACAAACACACTTGCTCTTTCTCTCTCTCTCACACACACACACACAGTGTTTCCTCTAGGGACAGAAGATTGATAACTACTTCTTAAAATGACCGGACTCTCTCCACTTAAAACACTCGGGAGAGCCTCCTGCCACCAGTTTCCCTGACAACTAGCGGTTCTCCTTGAAAACTAGGACACCCTCTTTATAACATGTGTCCCACAAGGTACAGATGCATTAAAATTATAACTGCGGTCAAGTCCGGTGTAGACATGCAGGGTGTTAGCATGAATCAATCGCTCTGATTGCCATTTTAGGCCTACTCTTGATAAAGTTTTATCCATTTATAACACTTTCACATACCTTTAAATAAATAAATACATACACTTTAATGATAATAGACTACTTTTGAAATAAAACCAAGTATATTTGTAAAGAGACTTATTGACTTATTCATGTTTCACGTGTATGTGCTCCATGTTGACTGTATTATTTCCATTCATGGGTGAACTATCCCTTTAAGTATCATGTAAATCACAATGGCCTATATAAAATAAAAGTATCTGGTAAATTATATTTTTATTTTTATTTTAATTTCTTATTAAATACAAATGTGAACATAAAAATGATATACAATTCGTACAAATATAAAATAGAAAATAATTATGATATTTAACATGCCAACAGATTAACAGATGGAGGGGATTATTTCTCTTTCAAATAGATTTTGTTCTTTTGAAATTTCTATTAATAAAATAATCCTGAAAAATGTATCAGTTTCAACAAATATATTAAGCAACTTTTTCCCCTCATTTATAACAATATTAGTGTTTTCACTGCATTTCTGATCAAGTACATGCATTAAAAAATCTTGCTGACCCCATACTTTTGAATGATATAAGCAGGGTTAAAATTAAATTTTTAACCATGATTTTAGGGTTAAATCATCATTATCCACAAAACATTGAATACAAAGACCTCAAGGTCAATCAAAAGTGATCTACTCTCTTCTACCAGCAGATGGAGCAATGATATCAAGTTTGTAGGCCGTTCACATGGAACGTGTTTTTTCGTTTAAAACTATGGACAAAGCACTGCAATGAAATGGTTTCGGCATGTTTCTAAAACGTTTAACTCAACACTCCTAAAAACGCAGCAATAGCCTACTCAAGAACACGTCCAGTGGGATAAAGTTCAAGTGTATGTTTAAAAATAGACACTAAAGTCATGTTGATTAGTTTTTACACAGCGCTCTTTTTTAGTTCCACTTAACTTTCTCGGATTTATGTGTAAAGTCAGTGAATGTGCCTCACATTCTTTCTTTCTTTGTGTTCCTCTAATATCCCCCTGCTATCCAGGACCCCAGACTCCACTCCACAGCAAAGTCATGTGAACAGAGAGCTAGCCAATCACGTGCTGCCAAGTTGAGCCTGGAGTAACGATTTAGGAGTTTCCTGAAATACCCCTCCTGCTTTCCCAAGCCTACATACAGTGTGTGTGTGTGTGTGACTGTGTGTCGTCACATCTGAAATCTTGCCTGTTCTTTGCTTTCCTATGAACCATGATTGCTGGTTCCACCCTGGACTTACTACACACTTACAAGCACACACAAACACACACATACACACAGACGGACAGACCCTTCCCCCCTTCCAGCTCATTTGTGAGTCATACAATGTAAGCAAACTTTCCAAGGGGAGATTTTCTATCCCGAGGCCTGCATTCTTAGAGGAATTTGGTATTAACAACAATCATTTCTATTCACCATCTGCTCCGATTGAGGTTATCAGAGGACATGCTGACACAACGTTGTCATATTAAAAGTTTATGAGAGAGTTTTGTCCTGACAATAGAGGAAGATACAACTGCGGACCTGCGGTAACAGAGGTACATTAGACAAGAGGAGAGAGAACAAAACCTCATGCATAAATGAATCTCTTTCTCTACAGGGAAGCTATACTGACATTTAAACGAATGAACATTGTAACGTACTTTAGCTAAATCAAATCAAAAAGCATGTTTCCATGACAACCAGGCAGGAGGGCTTGAAGAGAACTTACTGTAGGACAGAGTAAATGAGAGATGGGCCACAAGATGTCTGAACTATGACCTCCAAGATTTAATTGCACACATGATGCTTTCAGACACTTAAACAAGAATCATGACACGATTGATCTTACAACTCTCTCCCTCTCTCTCTCAAAGCTGTTTCCTTTATTGGCCATATTAATTGCTGTTAAATGAGCCTAATTACATTTTAGTCTTGTTTTCCATACAGTAAAAATATCTCAAATAAATGAATTGGGGTTGTCAGAGAATATACTAATGATTAAAATGTTTTGTCAGTGAGATTTTTTTTTTTTTACATTTTAATAAATGTAGGCAGCATTGATAATAGGAATGTTTTGTGAGCAGGTAAAATGTGTTAAATTTAAAACAGTTATTTTAAATTGTAATAATATTTCACAATATTAGTTTTTTTTAGTGTATGTTTGGTCAAACAAACTTTTTATCAAAAACATATTCCAAAAAAAAAAAAAAAATCCTCCAACCTCCAAATCTATGAATGGTAGTACATCTTGAACTGTTTATTGTTCTTTCCAAATTGGCAAATGGCTACTTCTTGTTTTCTTGAAGTCACTACATTTTATTAGATGTATGCTAATAAATATTTTTTTAACGATTAACAAAAAAAAAAAACTTAACTTAACTTAAACAAACTTAATATATCTAAAACAATCTCCCTCATGTTCCAAAATAAATGTAGTTAAGTTTAGGTATTTTTACAGGAAAACAAAGAATGACAAAATTACCAACTAAAAACTAGTTGCAGTTTGTTTTTGTTTTTCTTTTTTGCAGTCTAAATTCAATCAGTCTCAAGTGTCAAGAGTTGTGGTTGAAATGGTCACAGACCACTAGATCAGTCTTTCCCTCCAAGCACATCTAAACAGTGTTGCTGTTTTTTACCCAGAGGTCTGTTCTGGCAGGCCGAGTGGCCGGTGGGATTGCCAAGGAGAGGGATATTCAGAGAAGACAGAGAGCAAACATTCCTGGTGCAGATGAGTCGAGGAATGTGGGGTTTTGTCTGGCTCCGGAATCATGACCACAAAGAAATGTGACCTTCCTTTCAACTGTATCCCATATGCTATAGCTAACTCATGCACTATTACAGTCCAATATCAAAAAAGAGGTCATAATGCTGATGTATTGGGAGCTAAAAATGCAAACCAGTTCACATTAAGTACATCCGCAGCTAAATTAAAATAATATGAAATCAATCTCCTTGATAATGACACTAATTACTCTCTCTGCCCTTCTGACTCAATAGTTTTAACATTGGTAGAGACATTTCATCTACCTGTACACGAGTATGTATGTATGTGTGTATGCTGGACCCTTCAAATGCAACACACACACGCTACACAAATCAATATTACATCACCCTGACCACTATACATTCTCAACTCAGGTTGGTCAGTGGCTGCTAACCAAAGGCTTTCGGTGGTATAATTTAAGTTTAAGTAGTGAAAAAAATGTCATGTGGGTTTCAAAGCAACTGGAATCAGTTCCCATTTAATTGCAGTATATACAACTGTACAAGGAGGCAGTCGTTGTATTGATAACTGTACATGATGCTTTACATTTAGTTGAACTCTGCTCAACTATTCCTCATTGTAAAGCGTCTGTGCTGCTAATGTCACCGGAAAACGCAAACTCTCATGATTGACGGTAT